AAAAGCAGCGGGCGTTGTCCTTTGGGTCCCTTTCCATAGTTTTAGAGACTTGGGGGAAATATGGATTCTCTGAATGATGTGACGTTTTGCCTGATCGCGCCCACTGCGGTGGGACTCTGCCGTGGCCCCAACCACGGACCACGGGGGCCGCAGTCTCGTTAGCGGCAGGTTCCTGGACTGCGCTCGCACCTAGTTGGTGCTGCGTGGCCTCGGGCAAGTCCCTTGTAAAACGGGGACAACAGAAGCACCCACTGCTCAGGGACCTGTGAGTGTTAATAATTTAATTCGTGTACCTGGTTTACAGCAGGCCCTGGGCCATAAAAACGGAAAGCTTCGGTTCCGAGTCCGTCCACCTGGGGACCACCCCACCTGGAAACCCGCTGGGCTGAGAGCGCACGCACCGTATTTGGTCCCATCTCTCGGCTTTCCCCGTGTCCCCGGTCACCCAGGCTGGTCCCACCTCAGTGCCAGTGTCCTGACCCTCAGCCTCCTGCCCCCGTGCCCCGTCCCCAGTCCCCTCTTCTGTTGCCGCACCACTCTGCCGCGCTCATCTCCAGCCCCCATGGAGACCCTGGTGCGTGGCCGGTCACCACGGCCTCCCAGCCTGTGTCCCCACCCACCTTTGGTCTCTCCCAGCACGGGTCCGTCCTGAGCGTGCCAATATGCTAGGCCTCTAAGCTCACTTTTAGCCTCCCCCCGCCCCCCCGCCAGCTCAGAATTTCCCGATGGCTACCCACCCCCCACAGGCTAAAGCCCAGAGTCCTTGACATTCTTTCCAAGGCCCACCCAACCCAGACCAGACCCAACGGGATCTCCCAGCGTTCCCGCACCTGGCCCACGTCCTCAGCCTCTGTTCTGGCCACTGGCCTCCTCTGTCAACCAGCTCTCCTTTGGTCACCGCCAACCCACTTCCCTGCTTCTGGTCCCTTTCCTCGCCCACACCTGCCAGGCCACACCTCTGCTTCGAGGTCAGCTCCAGCCTCACTTCCTCCGAGAGACCTTCCCTGACCAGCTCGTGGAATGAGCGAGCTCCCTCAGCCACTGAGTCCTGTCTTCCCAAGATGACCAGCTCCCTCAAGGGCCCATTTCACACACCTTTACACCTTTACCTTAGCCCAAAGCCTGCACGCAGTAGGCACTCAGCCAACATCTATCTATTCATTCAGTGATGAAATTACAGGTACTTTTCCTTTTTTTTAACCTGAGGACTGGAAGAATTAGAAATGCTATTCCACTCAGGGGGTTATTTTTGAAGACCGACCATGTGCTGGGCACTGTGCCGGCTGTCGGGGCGAGGAGGTGGCCACAGATGAACGACACCGGCCTTGAGCAGAGCAAGGCCGTAAATGATAAAGGGGTTCCTGTTCTAGGCTCCGCGGGCGGGCTCTCTGTGTCCCAGAGCCCCCTGAGCTTGCACGCTACATCTCCTCACGTGGGCGCGCAGGTACTACTGCTCTGAAGGGGAGGCCGGTGGCTTTCGTTGTCTGCTCACGTGGGCTTTGACCCTAACGTGTAAGGGTCACTGCTCTAAGGAGAGGGTGACACAGACAGCCACTCTTTGCACCAGCGCAGGGGACGCATGCCCAGTGGAAGGGAGCACGGAGCTGAGCCTTGTGGTCTCGGGGGAGGGGGCAGAATCTTCCCAGAAGAGAGGGGGGCTGAGCTGCTCCTTCCTGAGTGGGAGGGGGTCCAGCGGGGAGAGAAGAAGAGAGGGACATTAAAGGAGAGGGTGCGACCGGAGACAAGGCCCGGAGGCTGGGAGGGCCCAGTGTCTCCGGGGAGGGGTCTGTGGTCAGGTGAGGCCGGGGCATGGAGCAGGGAAGCCCCAGACTGGTGTGTGGGGGGGTCCCTGCTGTCTGCCCCACATGAAGGCTCTTTCAGGCGTGGGCTCCCGCACAGTCATGTGGCCTCAGGTGAGTCTGCTGTACAGAGAGGTGGAGGGAGAGGTCGGCCCGCCCTCCCTCCACTGGGGGCTGGAGCAGGCGGTAAGCCAGTTGCCAGGAGGAGTGGGGGACAGTTTGTTCTAACGAGGGACAGCAGGGAAACTTCTAGATGCTTCTTTGAGTGGAGAGTCCAAAGCTGGCTGGCCCAAGCAGGCACTGGACGTGGGGCTGTCCTCCATCAGACACCCCGTGATGGGTTGGGGGACAATGGCAGCGGAGGCCAAGAAAGGGAAGGAGATCTTTTCTTTAGAGACCAGGACAGCAAGCTGGGCCTGCTCGGCGTGGGTAGTTCTCCCAACACGCCGACCGCAGAGCCCAGGTGGGCGGCCCCTGGGACCTGACAGGGGAGCTGGGGAACCAGCCCTGGGGTCGGGGCACCTGGGCACCAGCACGTGCCAGCTGCAGGTGGACGAGCTGGAGGGTGTCCAATGCTCCGGGGCCCCTCCCCCGCCGCAGGGTGCAGTTCAGGCTGAACAGAAGCTTCCTCTCCTCCGACATGCCAGCCCCGCCCCTCGCTCGGGGCCTTGGTGTTTACCTGGAACCTCTGTCTGTCCCCTCATCCTCCACCTGCTGGCTCTTCCTCACGTTCACGTTTTATCACTAACATCCCTTCCCTTCCGGGTTCCGGGAACCTCCCCTGGCCACTGAGTCTAAAGTAGCTGTCCCCCTCCCCCACAGACGGGTATAAGGGGGTCCCTGTGCCCAGCTCCCCAGACCGCACATCCACGCCTTCTCCAGCTGCCCCGCTCACTTTGGCCTGAGTCCTGGACCAACGCTCCCTCCCTGCTCCCCACAGGTGACAGGACACGGAAGGAGGTGCCCGAGTGCCCGGAGGCCTTTGCCAGCCAGGAGGACTGTGCCAGACGAGCCTGGGCCGTCCGGGGGTGGGTCAGGGGCCTGCCACGGTGCCATCTGCCGCAGCAGAGCTGGGCTCCGGCTCTACCGGGCCCAGCGGGTTCTCCACAGACTCCCCTCTCCGCTCTCCTTCCCCCTTCCCCGACCTCCTTACCCGAGGGCTGTCTGGGCCGGGAAACCACACAGAGGAGGAGTAGCAGCCCCAGACGCCCCCGGAGCCCCGCAGTGTAGCCCTTAATCTATTACATTCCCAGTGACTCCCAATCACCTCTCTATTCAGGATAATACAAGGGAGGAAAAAAAATCCCACAGGAACAGTGAGTGTTTTCCAAAACCAAAGAAGAAAAGCATTCCAAAGCCACGAGGCCTCTTCTGGGGTATAATCAGCGCAGGAGATTTGGGGGAAGGCCGGGTTGGCTGGGGGGTGGGCATGCTGGTGAGCGCGCGCACGCTCTTGGAAGTTCTGGAAGGCCGTGTGCGTGTGTGTGCGTGTGCGTGTGTGTAGGGGTGCGCTGTGGATGCCTTTTGCACTGTCTGCGTTCTGGGTAACTGAGACTCAGGCCCCGTGCTCTCTCTTTGGCTAAAAAAGGCAGACAGAGAGCAAAGGCCTGGGGCCTGGCCCGGGTCTGAAGATCAGACCAGGCATTTCCTGCTCTGGGCGTGAAGGCCTGAGTTGGTTAAAACAAGTTAATGCACGTACAGTGCTTCGAGCAGTGCCTGGCGGCTAGTAGATGCTCAATAAGTGGCAGCTGTTTGCTGCCACCGTGGCCATTGCTGCTAAAATGCGTGAACCCGTATGACCACCTCGGTTGCTGCGGTGATCTGAGTAGCTATCTGCTGACCGTCCCTCTGGGCACCGCTGCGCTCATTCCGTGGCCCCGGCAGCCAGCACAGCGCCCTGTTCACTGGGAGTCCTGGGGCAACGCTTACGGGAAACGAGGCTGGAGCACCAGCAGCGCCCCTCTCCCCACAGGCCCCGGCTCCCCGACCCACACCGGAGCCGGGGTCCTGGGGGAGAAGGGCTTCCTTTGCAGAGCCAGCTTCCAGCTTCCAGACGCGGTCTCCTGGAGGGGCAGGGACAGGCCCCCCTGCCAGGGCCCAGCGTCCCCACCCGGGGCTGGCCTTGGACGCACTCTGTCACCCCATCTGTCTGCACCTGGAAGGCCCAACACCTGAGCTGGGACGACTCTGTACCGTGGAATTAGAATTTGGTGCATAAAATACTGAATTTTACATCTAAAGCTATCTGTCACAGATGATATTTTATCTGACCCAGAGAAGGTGAGGACAGTGACGGAGGTGATTTTTAGCAGAGACGGGACATGTGTATAATGCACAAGCAAATCAGTAATCTGAGATTGGGGCTCTCCATCCACAGACTCCACGTGGGGCCCCAGCGCTCGGAGGCCCCCCCCTGCTCCGCCCCCACACTCGGGGTCACAGGGAGAGGGAAGCTGGGATCCGGAATCCCACCAGGGACCAAGAGCTGCTTCCGGAGAGAATCCTCTGATGCCGTTTCCCCTCCCTCCTTCCCTTCAGTGTCACCAGTGCAGCTGTATACAGTTCGGTCTCACAGTCCATGCGGCCGCTTGCACACGAAAGGCTTTTATATACTCTCTCCATCCACCACTTATCGGGCGCCGGGGACCTCAAGTGGAACACAGTCCCTGTCCTAGAACATCCACTTCCCACAGGAAGGGGGCCCTTGGGTCCTCAGAGTCACCCCCGAGAATCAGAAAACGCCCGGGAGGAAGAGAGAGTCATCCTCACGGCTGCCCCGTCCGCCCCAACCAGGGCCTGGAGAGCTCTCCTAAGGAGGGGATGGGAGGGCTGCTAGACTGAAGAAATGCTTTCTCTGTTCAAGCTACTTGCCCAAGGGCAAGTGCTGTACAACGCTGTGAGAATCCCGACTTGGGACAGTCACCGACCCTTTCTCATCTGCAAAATAAGCCCGGGCATTGCCTGGCCATCGTCTCTGTTGGCGACCTTGCTGGGAAGGCTGCCGGCCAGCGAGGCCCTCGTTGGCGCTGGCCAGGTTTGGGCTGGCGTACCGGCTGACCAGCCGGTGGGTGACCAGCCTGCTCTCGCATCAACAGCACTGTTTCTCTCGTCCCCGCCAGGCTGCCTGGCATTGTCAGGACGACGCAGTCGGGTACTGAGACGGGGTCTCCTGTCGCTGTGCCCTGGGGCTCAGCGGCCTACCTTTCTCTCCTTGTCACCGTATTCGATGCCCAAAGTGTCCATGGCCCGGACGATGGCCGCCAGGGACTGGATGGTGTTGCTGTAGACGACAGGCTTGTACTGTTTCACGTCTTCTCCAGAGAAGCCATCTTCGTGGATAATCCTAGAGGAAAAGCACACAGATGACAGCTGATGAGCGCCCCGTCCTCCCGAGAGCACCAGGCGGGCGCAGCCCCGGGCCAGCCTCCCGGCGGAGCTGGCCGAGGAGGGCTAGGTCCCACGTGGGGGCGGAATCACTGAGCTGCTGCATTAGCACCATGAGATCTGAAGGGAAACTCTACCCGAATTACCGAAAACTAATCTGAAACACAGAATGGTGGGAAAAAGAAATGCAGTGTTTTTATATTCCCTAGGTCTGCAGGAAAGAAATGCCAGTCACCCAGCCGTCAATAATACTGGAAAGCAGCTAGAACCGGAGGACACGCATTTCGTACTCCACAGATGCGGGCCATTAGTGTTTGCGAGCAGAGCTCGGGGGGTGCAGCTGACGGCCCGCGGCACAAAGCCTGCAAAGGGAAAACACATTTTCCTTTCACGGGAGGCAGGAGGACGTGCTCAGAGTGGACCATCTTCACCTTCGACGACGGAGTGGTCGGCAAGAGGGCTCTGCCTGTTCTTCCACCCGTGCCTGGGATCTGGGTGTCACACCACCCTTGTTTGGGTGCGCTGGCACAGGGACACGAGGCCGCGAAGGTGACATGGCAGGTCTCGGAAGCCACGTGCTCCCTGCCCTCCCGTTGTCCGGCCCCTCTGAGATCAGGGTGAGGGCCACGCATGCCCGAATGTCCTTTCTCCCTGCAGGTGGTGGCCACTCAGTAAGGCTCCCTGCTAATCGGGTTCCAGACAGGAGAGGAAGCTAGAAAGACGGGGTAAAGCCCAAACTTCGCAAGAACCGTCTTACAGGTGGAGTGGTTAAGGAGAGCGAGGACAGATTTTGAGACTCACACCCCATGTTCGTCACCCTCTAACGAACTGTGTGACTCCCCTGTGGTCCCATTTTTCAATCCAAGACTGGGCTCCGGGGGAAGCATGTATGAATCCCACGTCACAGCCGAGACTGCTCTCCCCCCACACCGCAGCCCCTTCCATTCCTTCACGGACAGGAGAAAACCGCCAACGATTTGTGGGGAAAAAAAACAAAAAAAAACAAAAAAAACCAGCTTCACTGAGATCCAAGTCACATCCGGGCCTCCCATTAAAGCGCGCCATCCGTTGTTTTGAGAGGTTTCAGAAGGTCAGGCAACGATCACCACAGTCTGATTTTAGGACCTTCGTGTCCCCCCCGAGAGAAACCATGCACCTGTGAGCAGTGGTCCCCCTCCCCCACCCAGCAGTAAGCGACCGCTGAGCTGCATGTTGTTCTGGTAAGTTTGCCTATTCCGGCCCTATGAACAGGGTCACGTGAGAGGTAGTCTATTGGGGCGAGTTTCTTTCATTCAGCACGACGTTCTCCGGACCCACCCAGGGTGTGTCATGTATCAGCACTCTGCTTACGTTGTGGGCTATACCACGCTTTGCTCACCCGTTTATCAGGTGATGGACACCAGTGGTTCCGGTCCCAACATTTGACTTGGGGCCGGGACGTGTGTCTCGTCCTGGGTTCTCTCGGCGACAGCTCGGAACGGCCCGCTTGACTTGTCGTGGATTTTTGTTAGCCGGAGACAGGTTTTTGTACCCGTCTGTCGAGAGAGGACACACCCAGCCTAGATCACGGTGCACCGCCCCAGGGGGACCCCGAAGGGACTTGCTAGCTCCCGGGTAAACAACTAGAAAACCGGACGAGACATATGAAATGGGCGTTTTCAGACTTTGGAGGGCGGGCAGCACAGCCCCACGACCTGGGAGAGAAGGGAGGCCAGCGTGGCGAGTCCCGGGAGGGCCCTGGCTGTCCGCCCGGGGGTGCTGACCAGGCCGCAGTGGGGACAGGGAGAGCCCACGCAGTGCACAGCGCTCTTCCTGAGCTGATGAGACGGGGCCGGCGTCCAGGAAGCCTGGGGCGCTGGGAGTTGGGGGGCAGAGTGCCACAGAGAGGGGGGAGTCTGAATAGGGGTCCCCTTGAGTCTTTGGCTGAACAGGGTGAGACTCCACAAGCTTGGCAAGGAGCAAGTATCAGGGAACTTATAAGTCGAACTCTTCCCAAAGCTTACTCAAGGCTGGGTGGTGTTCACATTCTCATCATCCATACTGAGCTTACTCTCTGTGCTGAGTGCTTTACAGGGACCATCTCTTTTCATATTCAAATCAATTCTAGGAGATAGAAACTATGATTTCCTTTTTACAGATGAGGAAACTGAGGCTCAGAGAGGTTAAGCCACTGACCTGAGGTCACACAGCTGGCTGAGTGTCACAGTGGCGTTCGACGCCCTGCCAGTGACCACCAGGCAGATGCTGAGAGGCGGGGCTGCTGCTTCTGGCCCTGGGTCCCTACATCCAGGTTCCCCGAGAGTCCAGAGACTTCACACACACAGTGAGCATCGGAACCCTTCCTCCACTGTCAGCCCAAGGAGTGTGAGGCAAGGAAAGGTGGGGTTTGGTTGGAGGTTGCGGAAACAGCTCAGGGCAGTCTGGTCTCTTGCAACCACCCAGGGGTGAGGCCTGAAGGAGACAAGGCCAGGGTTGGGGGAGCACGAGTGGGGGAGCACGGGACACATCAGCGACAGCCAGTGGCATCTCACCCTGCTGCAGCCCCAGATAAACTAATCTTCGTCTACACTGTTGAGTGACAGAGGGGGAAATCAAGTCCCAGAGACATCATTCCAGCTACTGGATCCAGCCATGCCTGAAGCTGACACTGTCCCTACACTTTTGAGTGACGTGAGCCAAACAAAATCCTTATTTTTGTGTAAGTTAACTTGACTTTGGTTTCTGTCTCGGACAACCCCAATAGAGTTATGACTGAAATATGTTTTGTACCTTAATGACAAGAGGAGTCAGAGGTCATCTCTGAGTGGATTTGTTTATTAATTTTCTGTCTCTGCCACCAGCCTGTCGGGCCTCGGAGGCCCAATGAGCACACCTTGGTTCTCCCTTCTCTGCACTACCTGGCACGGGGCTGGCTGTGGACAGTGCTCAGAGAAAGTGGGACACACTGCGTGAGCCAGGAGTGCGTCCCCTCTCACGTGGGGACCTCTCCAAGGAGCTCACTAAAGGAGGCAGGCGTGTGTGTGTATGTGTGTGTGTGCATGTGTGTGCCAGGGTGGGAATCCACCAGCTTTTCACGCCTGCAGAGCCAGCGTGGCAAAGGGAGGCCGAGCCAAACGCCCACCCGGAGCTCAGGGGCTCTGAGAGGCGTTCCCAGGCGCCAGACCAGAAGCACCACGAGAGGCAGCCCAGGCTGACTCGGCAGGCCCGGGTGTCCGACTCTGGACGGGGGCCACCAGCAGGACTCTGGAAACCTGGCAATGCAAAGAGGGAGATCGCAAGTGGAGATGGGGAGAGGGAGCGGGAGGGACACCAAGCCCACTGAGAGGGTCTGAGCTTTCTGGGAAGAGGCAACCCAGGAGAGACCCCCGGCCTCCCTGGCCTCGGCTCCTTTTGCTGCCGGGACCCTGCAGGGGGCCCACCCAGGCGTGGGCTCCCTTTGCTCTCTGCTTCCCCCTGTCAGGCAGGACTGCATTCAGCTGCAGGGAGCCTCCCCAGGCACACTGGCCTTATATGGGCACAGAACCACAGGCTGGGGAGCTGGAAGGGACCTGGGAGGATCATCTGGCCTGGCAGCCATTCTCCCCTGAGTCACAGATGCCTCTGAGGCTGTGATAAGTGCGCCTGCACACACGCAGTTTTTCCCCGTTCCTGGGGACTCAGGAACTTGTAGACCCTCAGCTGCTGGAACCCGTGACTTTCCATTCCAGCTCCCGGCTGGGTTGACTGCCCCTCTTCTGCTTCCGTTTATCGGAACTTTCCCCTGCCCTGGGCCCCTCTCCATCCTCCACCACAGTCCCTTTAAGGATCCCGATAAAGGGGGAGCTCCTGGAGCCGGACTCAGCTGTGCGACCAGGCAATGCCCTTCCCTGCTTGGTGCTTCAGTGTCCTCAACTGTCCCGGGGAGACGGGCCCGGTAATACTAACTCTCCTCACTGGGTCATGGGCAGGATCGACAAGCATTAACTCTCATAGGGAAGAGTGCCGGGCAGAGCAAGCGCTCGATCAGTTTAGCTGGTAACCCTGTATTTGGTGAGCGGGGCAGGGGAGACAGTGCTGTCGGCCGGGTGTCCTGTGTCTGCCCTCCTGAGGAGAGGAAGCGACCCAGGTGCACACGGCGGGGAGGCTGGGGGCCATGGGGGCGCCCTGCCTGCCGGGAGGAGGCAGCTTGGCTCACAGCCGCGGCCACAGCCAGGAAGTGAGGCATTCTCCGGACTGGAGAAGAAAATCTGCCCATTTACCTGCTGGACATCAGAGGCCGGGGAGCGGGTGGAAAAAGCCGAATTTCCTGATTTGGGGGCTGCTTAATGAAGTCATAAAATGCATTTCTGATCATTGCTGGAGGTGCCCGCGCTGGCTGCCCAGGTTAGGGCCAGTGCTCGGGGCTGCACCCACGTAACCCTGGACACCACTCCCTGTCGTCAGAGGGACCTGGTCGGGGGCGGGGACATGGCCTTGGAGCCACACCCCTCCCAGCAGACCCGGAAAAGGAACACCCTGGCTTTGCAGGACACATTTGTAACCCAACAGTGAACAGTGAGACGCCAGAGAGTTAATGAGCCATGTGCCAGCAATGGGGGGCTCCTCGGAGCCTGCAGAGCCCCGGGCCTGCGCAGGAGTGGAATACGAAGACACCAGTGACAGTCATGTGCAGCTATGTTTATAAAGCGACGGCTCTGTGGTGGTGCTGGTGGGAGCGGGGCCAGAGAGGCAGAAGGAGGGACAGGGAAAAAGATAGTACATGAGGATGCTTAACGAAATATCAGTAATCACTTCTGGGTGAGGGAGAGCATTTCAGGTGGAGACGACAGCAAGTGCAAAGGTCCTGTGGCACCTTGTACATTAGAGATGAGGTCGGTGAGGGAACCAGAGACCCAGGTACACAGGGCTAACGCACTACTTATATTTTTCCTTAATATACATTGAAACAGTTACCTATTAAAATGAACAACAACAACAAAA